CCTTTTAAAGGCCTATATATATATGTATATACCTATATTATACGTATACATATATACCAATGTGTGCATATATTGCTACTGATTCTACTACTGCTACTAGTACTATCAGTCTTACTACCGCAATGGTAGTGAAGAAGTAGTAAAAGTAGTAGTATCACTGTATCGTTAGTTAAACACCGTATCTTAATTTTTTTTAGTATGCTGAGTATACACAAAGTGAGGTCATTCAATCAATCAATCAATCAACCGATTAATTGATTGATCAATCGATAATTCAGAAAATCAATCGATGTAGTCTATTAATCCATTAATTTCGTAAAATAAACTCGGATCTCCTTACAGATAAGGCACAGTCATGATTTTACTAATTTATTAACATTCCAATGGCCTATCCAGTGATTGAATAGGGATGTACCGATATGTCCTTCACGCATTGTGTCTGTCAATTTGATTGGCGCAAAAAAATTATTCCAAAACGATGGATCGCACTCTTGTTCCCACACCTGTTATTACATTTATGAATTTTAAAGTGTCAGAATATAAAGTGGGGGAATCTCCAACTCATCCATCAGACCTAGATTCTTGACAGAACTGCTGTTTTCCGGAAACAGTGGGCAGACAATCTATCTACGCAATTATCTCACTGAAATCATCTGCAATATTGACCAGGTGATCGTCTGTTCGGGACAATGCCAAGGGGTTAATTGAAAAATGGGATGAAGATGAAGTGTCCCTGGTAACGAAAGGTGAAGAAGGTGATAGTATAAACTTGTGGTAGACCACGTAAATAGTCCTAAAAAAAACACTGATGCGTAGAGATATTCTCAAAACACTGGTTCTTTTAAAAACTATTTACGTCGTGTACCGTAATTGTTTATCCCCAGGCAAACATCGGCGTATCTAGAAGTCTTGAAATGGGGGTACTGATGGGTGGGGGCACCAAATGCAGTGGAGGTGCTCAATGATCCGTTAAGGGGCGCTAATTTGCAAAATAAGGTGATTTTGAACTACTTGACTGTGATTTTTTTTTGGGGGGGGGGCACGAGTAACCACCCCGCACCTCTAGATACGCCAATGCAGGTAAAACAAGAAGAAGGCAAAAAAGATGAAAGTTCAAGCAAAACAAGAAGGCGAAAAAGATAGATGTATTTATGTATTGTAGTCGCATTAATACTCTAATACCACGCATTAGTAATAACAATACAGTAAATAATTATGAGGACGATGAAAATGATTATGATGAAATGATAATGATGATAAAGATACTAATGGTGATGATGAGGATGATGATAATAATGCTATAACTAAAACAGGTTAATATATTGGTAATATGCCTTTTAATAATAATAATTATTATTATGAATGTTTAGGGTGTATTTCCTACATCATTTAACAGAGATAGGCCTACAATACAAACAACATCCAATTATTAGTTAGCAGAATATACATACAAACTCGAATTTTGCACACATTAATAAAATGCAATCTAATTTACACGATAACTCCAACAAAAACTATATCACACAAAATGGTGTTTCCTTCTCACAAAGGCGCTATGATACCGTTACTAAATTAATTATTGCGTATTAGAGTTCCTATCATTAAGGACGCCACCAACAAGTAAAATAAGTTCAGCCTGTTTGATTAGATCAACCAATCAGCGAGTAGCATCGTAATTCCTGGTCACGGCGCGTGATGGCGTACTGTAGTCCTAACTGATCTACGAATCATATAATTACAAAATTAAATAGGTTGACAGGGGTACGGTGAATAGTGGTTAAGATATTTGAATTGCAAATCCTGTGTCCAAATCATATAATACACAAACAATTGTGCTTTCTTTCTGATAACTAAAAACTCAATTTCAGAAGCACATGTGACGAAGGTAGGTCCTCAGCAGCCTAACTGGTGCGTTTTAACTTGTAAATGATAATTATCACTATTGAGAAAACAAGATAAATCATTTTAAAATTGTGCAGCCTACTGTATTCTATTCCGAGGTACATTCGTTCCGCATAATAATTGTGAAAAAAAAATTGCTATACGATTAGGTCAACAAAAAAAATTGACGCCTATATATCGTCTATCATAAAATCTGGAGAACCTAAAAATTGAATTAAAATATTTTAGATACCTATTTTTAAAAAACCAAGTAACTGATTAACTTTACTTTATTAAATATACTGAAAGGAAAACAAATGAAGAGGTGTTGTAATTGATAGAAGAACGTCAGATCATTAAAACTATAAATCAGAGACAGAAATCATGGATTGGCCATGTACTGAGAGACAAGAATCACTTACTAAAAACAGTTTTTTGGGAAACCACAAAGGGGGAGAAAACGTTATGGTTTTCTGGACTACCTGAAAGATTGAAGCTCATACCAATCGTTAAAATAAGAGCACAAAACAGAACTGTTTGGAAAAACTGGATGCATGAGGACCTGCTAACTAGAGGCATGAAAAAAACATTAAGAAGATGGCCAAATTGGACTGAAACTTCCTATATAACTGTAAAAAGATTGGAGTTTACCGCTCATAAATTGGTATATACAATGATGAATAATTTTAAGCGCAATTGAGAGTATGTCTTAATTAATAATAGAATTGGGATACAAATCTAATGACTTAAACACGTATGGGGCACCCAATATTTAACACTTAAATTCACACCGTCAGTCGAATTGCTCCTAGGCCTTCAATTCAGCAAGTTGAGCCAATAGAGGCAGTGTTTTTCTAGTTTTAACCTTTATTCATTAAATAATTTTATAGATTAGAATCACTGTATTTGATATATTGAAACTGTCGTCTTCATTTCTACGTCGACGAATATTAACTCGAAATTTTACTCTGTTTGGAGTCGTGATCACAAATTGACTGAACGCTGGAACGCAAGTCACAGCCCTGTGAGGTAAAGATCACGAAACGTCACAGCGGGCTTGCTATATGGGCCTAACATTGTAAAACCTCCTGTGTCATCAATGAGTAACAGCTAGATGTAATAACGCGGAAAAAACAGATACCCGGATGTAAATTCACATTGAGACCACATATTGGTATTCGTATGGACATTATACGCGCCATTATAAAATGTATACGATCCCACAATTGAAATGATTGAAGGGCCAAATTTCAAGGTCTGTCAGCTGAATGTTGCTAAAAATAACATAAATTATATGATAATGTATGTTAGTCATTGGATATATGGTCGTTTACATTAAACCACACGAGATTAATGTTTCGGAGAGGAAACCACTAAACCATTCTCTTTCTCAACGAACAGAAGCGACTTAACATAGTTTTGAGTGACAATTACTATTTTACAGTTTTCTTCAGCTTTAAAAATAGATGACGATAGCGGTGTTTTTTATGTTGTTGTTGTTGATGATGATGATAATGATGATGATGGTGTGTTGTTTTATGATGGTGATTTGATGTTGATAATGAGGTTGATGGCTTGAGGATGATGATGGTGATGATGATGATGATGATGACGATAGTGATGATGATGATAATGATGGTGTTGTTGGTGGTAATGATGATAAAAATTATAATGATGATGTTGATGATAATGATGATTACCGGTACTAATCAATACTACAGATCTTTAAATGAATTGTTTTTTGATTATTGTTAGGCCTATTGGTCCTATTCATAGGCACATCCCTATTTGTACCACTGCCCTATCTATAGACACATCCCTGTTTGGCACCATTGTCCAATCCATAGACACATCCCTACTTGGCACTGCGCCCATTGGCACATCCCTGTTTGGAACCACTGCCCTATCCATAGGCACATCCCTGTTTGGAACCACTACCCAATTCATAGGCACAACATCCCAGTTTGGAACCACTGTCGTATCCATAGCCAAATCCCTGTTTGGCACACATGCCCTATCCATAGACACATCCCTACTTGACACTGTCACCACTGGCACATTCCTGTTTGGAACCACTGTCCTATCCATAGGCACATCCCTGTTTGTAAACATTGTCTTATCCATAGGCACATCACTGTTTGGCACCACTGCCCTATCCATAGGCACATCCCTGTTTGTAACCACTGTCCTATCCATAGGCACATCCCTATTTGGAACCATTGTCCTATCCATCGGCACATCCCTGTTTGTAACCACTGTCCTATCCATAGGCACATCCCTATTTGGAACCATTGTCCTATCCATCGGCACATCCCTGTTTGTAACCATTGTCTTATCCATAGGCACATCCCTGTTTGTAACCACTGTCCTATCCATAGGCACATCCCTGTTTGTAACCATTGTCTTATCCATAGGCACATCCCTGTTTGGAACCATTGTCCTATCCATAGGCACATCCCTGTTTGTAACCACTGTCCTATCCATAGGCACATCCCTGTTTGGAACCATTGTCCTATCCATAGGCACATCCCTGTTTGTAACCATTGTCTTATCCATAGGCACATCCCTGTTTGTAACCATTGTCTTATCCATAGGCACATCACTGTTTGGCACCACTGCCCAATCTATATGCACATCTCTGCTTGGCATCATTACCTTATCCATTGGCACATCCCTGTTTAGCATTATTGTCCTATCCATAGGCACATTCAGTTCTTGTTTTGAACCACTGCCCTATCCATAGGCAAATCCTTTTTTACATCATTGCACTATCCATAGGCAAATCCCTGTGTGGCACCATTGCCCTATCCCTGGCTCCCTGGCACATCACTGTTTGGAATCATTATTAGCCTGTCCGATGGGAAGTTAAGTCCTCACCACGCTCGCCTCGCCCTCCAAAACCCACTTACACAAGCACTGCTTAAAGTCTTACTCAGTCCTATTACTGTTTGGCATACATAAGACACACTTGATTAGGCCTACTTAATACATAGTGGGGCCAAAATGTGTCGTTCAATCTCTTTGCAATCGGTGTTTGTCGCATTAATCAAATACAAATTTCTGCTCATATCAAAACAGCGGTACCCGATATGAGTTTGTTGACGTTTTTATCTTTTTTTATCTTTAAGTAGTTGAAAATGAAATGAACATCTAGGTCTAGGTACGGTATTGTAGGGAATAGGATAAACACATAGCTTTTCGTAACATGGAATGATTAAAAAATACGTTAACCATATGTTTAATTTGAAAAAACTAAGAAACCATTACCCAATCAACTTAATATTGCTTAACGTTAAGAACAAGTACCTATCTTTCCTTCGATGGCGTTGGGCTAAAATGAATGAAGCTATTGGGGTTCGCACTGATGATGTCATCGATTTAGGCCTATATGAATGCATATTACATGTATCTTTTCAACGTGAATGGTTCGTGTGCAAGCAAAGTGTAACAC